GCACGGTTCCTGTTCTGGGGTTTACATTCCCGTGCAGGAGGAAGACGTTAACCGCCAATACCGCGGTTAATCGCAGCCGGAGTTAAATGTGTCCAAGGTGAGGATGCCCTGCCCCGCCAGCTGCGCCGTGCTCGCGCGGGGAGCTGGGTCAGGAGGCCGCGAGGCTCCCCAGCGCCCCCCGCACGCGGCGCGCAGCTCCAACAGCCTCAACACCCGCTCGGCGGCGCCTCTGCACCGCCCCTCCCGCCTCGCCAGTGAATTGACTTTCCATGAACAGTGCTCGGCACACGGTAGGGACTCAGGAAATGCTAACCAAATCTTTGAGTCTAGCCTTAGCACCCCATCTGTGTTCAACGGGCTTTGTTGAGAGGGACTAACATTTTCTACTTCAATTCCAGAGAGCAGCAGCAAAAATCCTGGCTCCTTGTCTCAAGATTGACTTTGATCTCCAGGATATTCTAGAACTAACTGCGTGGCTTCTGTACACTATAAGGCAGGGCAGTGCTTGTCCAGTAACCCTTTTCCAAGTTACCCTTACACAGAAACCTTATTATTTGTGGTTTTATTGAACTCTTTTCCCGAAAATACAGGGACTTGGGGTCCAGACTCACCAAAGTAGTTCACGTGCATTTAGGAAAAGGGAATTAGAGTAGGATACAAAGAGAAAGAAGTTATGGAAGGTACACTCAGGCCTCAGAACCCTATGGTCAGGAGGAAGGGAGCAGCGATGTGCGCTAGGGTGCTGGCGGCTTGTCCCAGGGTTCCACATAACTGTGTGAGGGATAATACAAATGACCCTGTGAATTGTATTCAAAACTTGAAACTGACCAACTCAGTTATACCAACTGTATTAAATGTTACCCAAAGCCTTTTCCATTCTAATATTTAAACAGTCTAGGACCATAAAATCGGGCGGGGGGAGGGGGGAGAACGACGACTTGGCTGGAGAAATGGGGGAAAATCACCTACTGTTATGCGTATTATCTATAAGAAAATCACAAACATGTTTGAAGTGGGAAGATCCTGAAATTTCTAGTATGTGAGAGTTGCATTCAAAATGATATGCATATCATCAGTCTTTTATATCCCAAATTTACTAATTTATTTTAAGTGAATGTAAAAATATAAGGACTTTGCATAGGTTCATACAAAAGCTTGGTTCTCTCAACTCAGTTTTTCCAGGTTGTCAGCACAGTTTTTGGTAGTAAGAATTCAAGACATATTTGCTGCATGAGTAAAAGGTCTTGAATCCCTCAACCACCAACAGGCAGGGTTTTAGAACACTAAGTCTTTTAGTGAGGGGAGAACACTTACTCAAACATAGTGCATCTGCTCGGTTGGAGCACATTGATTGATACCTCCCTTTCCCTTTCAGTGATTCTTCTTATTAAAACAAATTAAACCAAACTGGAAAAGCTTTCCCCAAAACACCACTAAAAAAGAAAACCACTCCCCCTACATATCAGTGTAAAATATCAGTGCCTTTGCTGAAATAGCGTTCTTTTACTGAAATACTTATTCACATTAAAACTGAATCTTTTATTCCCTTGGATGGTGATGGCCTGTCCTAGGTCTATGAATTTCTCAGTTCTGCACAGTGCAATCAGGTCCAAAGAGTATTATGTGAATTAAAATATTACCTTAATAACAGTGGTGAAAGAAGATAAGGCACATTTTTTTCTTTTCTCAGTAACAGAATTTATTGATCAGTATTAATTCATTACCCAGGATACTTTTAAAATACATGTCATCTAAAAGTTGTTGTTTCTGGATTTTTGAATCAAATTTATCTTGAGTTACCTTTAAATATGACTATCACACTAAACATCTATCATTACTAAAAATAAGAAAACAAAAACTTACTTGTTATAATGACAATTAGCCTACCGGAGACAGGAAAAGGATAACAGCAACAACGGCAGCTGACCAGAGCTGCAGCACAGTCACGCAGACAAGCACCGAGTAGGCAGAGAGTTATCCAGCATGGCAACCCTGTAGCTAACGTTTACCTAGTATATCTGACCAAATGCCAGGCACTGTCATGAGCATTTCATATGCAGTATGAAGCAGACACTACTCTCATCCCCATTTTAGAGATTAAAAAAAACCAAAAAAACACACAGAAGGTTAATAACTTGCCCAAGATCTCCAAGCTAGTGGGTGGCAGAGACGGGCATCTGATCCAGAGCCCACATTCTTAGCCTGTTATTCAGCAACAACTCATAATTACGGTCCCCATTACTTGAAAAAAACTTTTTGGTTTTATATCTTTCTTGCAGATTATTTTTAAAAGTATAAAGCATTTGGAGGACAATATTCTAATTGGGAATAATTTTGAAAAATATTTTAATATTTTACTAAATACATGGGTGGGCAAAAGTAGGTTTACAGTTGTTCGTATGGAAAATACAACAATTAATAAATAACAATATAAGAATGAACTCTGTGCTGCATGTACTCACAACTGTAAACTTACTTTTGCCCACCCCTGTATATGGTAGCTGTTCCTTCACTCAGAATCATGACGTGGTTTATAGAATCTCTTTAATTTGTAATCACATCTCACAAACCAGTGAGATCCCCTTTTCCTAAAACAAACAAAGAGTAAAAAAAGAAGAAAAGCCACCACCAAATCACAAGATTCCATATATGCATATACTTTAATAACAAAGGTTACTTTAGCTGTAAATGAACAAAGAAAGGCAGACAAGGAGAACTTAACACATGATACTTCCACAAGTTTGGTCAAACAGGTATACATGAAACTTTAAAGCATATACTGTCTGTGTTAACAGAGGCTATAACTACCAAATTTGATTACACACATTTCCTAAAACACTTTTATCAAAGAGTGCAAAGTTAGAGCAAACAATGATGTCAAGAAAATTTTAACAAAGTCTTTTAAGAAAGTCTAAAAACCTCCTATTTTCCCACATTGACTCTCAAAACTTTGATTTTTTCTTTAATATCAGAGTACCAGTTTGCCACTTTAACTTTTACCATACATGAAAAGTTATCAAAAATATATTGATGGGTCTATACTAATTGTGCTATTTATATTTACATTAAGCAAATTCTTTATATACAAATTACCATGTGTCCTATGTGAAATTCATTAAAAAGTTAAAAACCACAGAAATGTCATTAGAAACAACTGCTTTCCATCAATGAAGAACATTTTAAAATAATTTAACTGAAAAAAGTATTGAACTCCCCACCAATTTCAGCTGCAACAGTATTCCTCCTGAATGTTTTCTGTGATTTAAGGGGAAAAAAAGAACTGGGTAAAGCTTGATTGCAAGGAATTAAACGATAAAAATTTGATGAGTGTTTACTGATCTTATCTTTAAGAAATTTAGAGTCTATTTAGGTTGGCAATTAAAAGCAGCAATAATTTTTAAAATTATTTTTTGTTAAAGAAACAAAAGTCTTTAAAAACTGTCAAATGCACTGTGTAAATACTTTTCATATAAATTTATATCACAAAATAGTATCCCATAGTGAACTGAGTACAGGCATGGCTGTTTGATACTTCCAAAAAGGGCCAACTTTAAAAAAAAATTAAACTATTTCCAAACTGGAAAGAATTTAGATTTTAAAAGTATCACAATTAGGTAAAAGAAATTTATAAAGACTTAAGAGGCAAATATTTGGGGAAACACTCATAGAGAGATTATATTAATACCACTAAAATTAAAAAGTCACTTTAATTGTTTTAGATTCGCAGTCACATAGGAAGGAAATGAAAAAGATGTTTTTTTCCTGAGGAAAAAAACGAGCACAAATTCATAAGCTTTCACATTTAAATATAATTGATTAAGATGGCCATAAACCAAGTGCAGCACTTTGTTCAGTACAGATGCATTTCTCTTGTCTAAGAACTAACTGATTTTGTAACAATCACTGAAAAATTTATGACTCTCTGGTCTGAAAATACAGATTAGCTCCATTTTGGAAATTATCTTAATTTATGTTGATTACACACTCCACTAAAGCAAGAATCAAGGCTGTAAAATATTTACCTAATTAATTTGTGCTCTGTCGCTGGACTTTAGAATACTGTGTGTCTTCCTCCTGACTAGGACGTTTCCCGCTGGTGAGACCAGTGCCCACGGAGCTTCTTCCTACACATTTAAAAATATACGTTTATAAAATAGGAAAAGTGAAGAGAACAGTATGCTCAAATGCTTTATTGTTTTTTTTTAAATCCTCATCTGAGGATAATCTCCATTGATTTTAGAGAGGAGAGGAGAGAGGATTTTAGAGGGAGAGAGAGGGAGACTGCCAGATAAAACACACTCCAGTAATAACACCTGATCTCTTTTTAAAAAAATGATCACCCCTCAAATGCTGCCTTGTTTTTATGATATAATGATTCAAATTGCAAATACATACTGACTTCCTGACATTATTAATATTACCCTTACTAAGAATATATGTGCACCCTGGCCGGGTGGCTCAGTTGGTTGGAGTGTCATCTAGTACACCAGAAGGTTGCAGGTGGGATTCCAGGTGAGGCCACGGACCCGGCTGTAGGTCTGGGAATTCCCTGGTCAGGGAATACACGGGAGGCAGCCATCGATATTTCTCTCTCATCGGTGTTTCTCTCTCTCTTTCTCTTTCCCCCTCTCTCTAAAATCAATGACCATGTCCTTAGGTGAGGATTAAGAACTTAAAAAATATATATATATATGTGGCAACTAAATATATCATACAGAAAACCACTGCAGACTAGACTTTGTAAGGAAAACTCATGTGCAAAGGACTAAAGGTCTATGATAAATTTTTTGGCCTTATTCACGGGGCCACTGACACTATTACCTTTTCGCTGACAAATATATCTAGAGAGTAAAAAATAATGAACGTTCTGAAAATATCACATTTTGAGTTTTATTTTATCCTTAAAATTGCTCTCCTTATTCAGTTTGCGAGAAGATCTTTACTTTGACCCAAATCCTACTACATGTAATGATGCTTTCTGTCTCTGAAATGTCACTAATGGAGTTAGGAAGTGTGTTGTATGTATGTGCACACACATTTTAAAGAGATTTTAAAAACATATTGTAGTGAGGTTTAATAAACAATATACTTGATTATTAATCTCTTGATGTTAAGTGCAGAAATTTCCTTTTGACTTACTTCCGCTGCTGCTGCATCCTGGGATATTTTCTCCAGGAGAATACCCCATGAGGCCTCCATTCCCATTAGGATTAGAAGGCACTGATGCAAGAAGACCTAAAGGGGAAAATGTCCAATTATGATCAAGATCAAATCAAGGGTAGGTACACAAACAGCTGCCAAAGCAGCAATCAAAGGCAGCAACTGACGCACCTAGTCCCCGGTATCGTGAAAGCTGCTGGTAGATCTGCTTCATCCTCTCAATATTCAAACGGCTTGCCTCGGCGTGGTTCACCATCGGTTTAGGGTAATTGACTCCTATCAGACATTTGGCTACCTTCTGGATACCTTCTGGTGCATTCCAGGGATCATAGATATACTTTGCAGGGAAGCCTCTTAGGACAGGCAAATACCGCCTTTTGGGAGAAGGAAGAAAAATTATTAATAAAATGAACTATAAGCAAATTATAAAGAAACTATTTATTAGCTATGAATGACCAAAATCAAATCAGTACCATTTAAATTTTTTGTTTACCCTTCTTCTCGCCTCTGCTGACCATCATGAGTGGGGTATACTTAAAGCGTTGCTTAAACATGAAAAGCTCTTCCTGGATTAGTTATTCCAAACTGAATAATAATCACCCTTGATTTACCTGATATAGTCTCCATTGGGATCTGTTCTCCTACCAAAACCAACAGGGCAATAGCAGTGAAAAAACTGTTGAAAAAAGGAACTACAAGACAGCCACATCCAACTTCCAGCATTTATGCTCCAATCTGCATCAAGTAATAATTCTTCAAATACCTTCAGAAGTAACAGTAACCAATTAGTTTGCACACACATAATTCTCAAAGCAAGCATTTTCCAGGTCTTTGAAGATCAAAAGTCAAGACAAAGAAAATCTAGCATAGAACTGTAAAATTAAACATTCCAAAGTTAGCTTTCTTGTCTATTTTTTATTCTACAATGAGTTATTTCAGGAAAATAAATATATCAGTAATATAAGTGGATTTCTGAATAGAATTTACCTTTCTAATCTTTGCAGTTTTATTGGGAGGAGGGTAAAAAATTATTCAAGTCACTGATATAAAAGGAATATGAGGAGATTAAAAAATGGAAGACAAATAAAAGCAATAAACACTTTCAAGAAAGGAAAAATGCTACTGAAAAAAATCACCAACAGAAACTTAGAAGCTTAGTATACTGGCCTACCTAAAGAGAGCATCCAAATATAAATGACCTTTGAAAATGCACTGGCATTATTTCTTGATCCAAGAGGAAAGCAGAATTAAATGATATTTAATAAATTCATGAAGTATGTGCTACACATCTACCTCATATAAACTTTGTACTAGGAAATATAACAGATGCAAAAAAATACAGGATCAGAAATGGTCCTTGGAGACGCAAAATTTATGACATAAGTAGGAAGGTAAAACATATATATATAAGTCCTGTTATATATAACTACAAGATGATGCTACAAAAAATAGTACGCTTCACTTTACATAATAAGAGTATTACTAAAAAGCTGTGATGTTGAAGTGAAGTGAAATTATATATATTTTAAAATTTATACTACAAATTCACTATTTCTAAAAACTCTTGGGTGAATCCCTTCTGTAACAGAAATGATCACCTATAAATATGTTGACGCAATTACGTCTTGAGTGTTAAATTTTATACTTCCCTTGATGGCGAGGCTGGTTTAGCCACAGAAATGACTTGAAATTAACTGAACCAGTTTTTGCCATATCTCCTGTCTGATTATACTTTTGGTCTCCAAAAGTGTGACTGTATTGCGGGAATTAAATTCTTCGACCACTGAAAAACTAGATTATAAATGAATAAACATAATAGACAACTTCTAGGAAATGTTTTAGTAAAGTATAGAGTCCTTCAAAGTAAGGCATGCTACATTAGTTAGAACATTTACCTTCATTCCTTCCTCCCAACTAATCCACAGGTCACCTCGTGTAACAAAGCAAGCAACTGCATGTCTGGCCAAATGGTGAATCCAACCCTCTTGACGAAGCTGTGTCATGATGGCATCAATCCATGGAAAACCTGTCCGCCCTTCTGCCCATTTTGCTAAAGCCTCAGGATTCTTATCCCAAGGAATCTGAACACAGATGGGGTTTCCTTCCATTTTATCAAAGCGTGGATTATTTGTTGCTGCTGTGTAGAAAAATTCACGCCATAATAGTTGCCCATAAAGGGAAAGGGGAGGGGAACTGTTCTTTTTCACCTAAAATTAAAAAGCAAACAAGTATTCTAAGCAACTTTTTAAAAAGTATTTTAAAAAATAAAAAAATCCAGTTTTAGCTAATACCTTTTTGTAGAGATCTGTTAGTTTGAAGTAAAATAGTCGACATGACAAACAACCAAATCGGAGGTAAGGACTGAGTCCAGTAGGGCTAGCAAGCAGGGAATTGGCATTCATTCGAGGTCTTTCAAAGTTAGCCACCCAAGCCTGAAAACACACAGAGAGAATTACCCTAACTTTTCCATTTTAAAGAAGTGTTTAAGATTTAGAAATTTAAAAACTGTTACATAGTTCTTGGGGAATAAAATCTTATTATTCCAGCCACAAATGACATCTTTTAATAGAAAACTTCAAGAAAGAATAAAAGTGAGCATTTTTTTGTTGTTTCAGCCATCCTCACGTAGCACATACTCATGTGAAATAAATTACCTTTGCATTCCTAACACAAAGCTGAGAGCACCTTCCACCTGTCTCCTTGACACTGAAACAAGGTGAAGTAGAAGAACTCTACCCTAGCTTCAAAGTTATGGTCATGAGACACCAACTTACAGAGAAAGAATAGAAGAGGCGGTGTTGGTAACAGCTAAAAAGGGAACAATCAGAAGAGGAGGAGAAAGGGATTCAGATGAGGAGAGACAGCTGTTAATTTTCAAATGTTTAGGTTTATGATATTTTAAGTATCTCTCAATCCTTTTTCAACAGTCTACTTTTTTGTTTTTAAAAAAAGGAAAATTTTTTGAAATGCCAGTTTGGAAATATGAGTGTGATCTATATTGTCATACTTTTCTTTCCAAATGCCTTTCCAAACGTGTGAGTGCTTCAGTTTCTCCACCTGGCCATACTGCAGAGGGTAAGCCATCTGTATCAAAACCTGAAAAAATAAAAATTAAAAAATCATCCTTTTGGCACATTATTTGTTTTTATTTAACCACAATAATTGCAAGAAAAATTACTTTGCAGAAAAATTATGACAGTAGCATAAAAATGAATTGATAACCCTGGATAGATCCTCACATATAGAAGATATAACATGTTCTCTCTTCTTTAAAATATGTATTTTAAGGTGATAACAGACAAATCATATATTTTATTTTTATGTTTTTAAATATTTTTATTAATTTTTAGAGAGTAAAGGAGAGAGAGAAAAACACATCAATGTGAGAGCGGAACCTTGATTGGCTTCCTCCTGCATGCCCCCTACTGGGCACTCAGCCCAAATCCAGGCTTGTGCCCTGACCGGAAATTGAACCAGCAACCTTTCAGTGCACAAGATGATGCTCAACCAACTGAGCCACACTAACCAGGGCAATCACATATTTTAGAACACATAAATAATGCACAGACTTATCACTTCTTAGTTTGAGTTTCTTTTATATTTTCTCCTATCTTTATTTCTCTCTTAGTGCAAAATATATGTCAAATCAGAAATGGGATTTTCTGAGGGATTTATTAGCTCTTAAGTTTCACCTTTTTACCATTTATACCCACCCAGTTCTTCCAGTGAAGGGACTCCATATTTCTCATCATGGTCATCAGACAAAGGAGTTACGCACTTTTCTATCACTTCCGAAGTAATTGTCTCTACCGGTATCTCTAGTGGTTCCATTTTGCTGATGAGAGTCTGGAATCTTTTATAAGTAAGAGGTGGTTGTCCACCATTGAGTTCTATGATCCTATTACAAAAGTTAGTAAAATCCAATTAGTATAAAAAAAAAGACAATATATTTTGATTAAGCTCTGAAAAGGCTTAAAATTAGAAAATAAATTTAATTACTTGACTTCTAGGAGAATGACCAGGAAACTTGTTAAAAACAGTTAATGAATCTAAAAATAATTTTCTTCATTTTCTAGACATCTGCTAAGTGTCAAAAATATAGAGCATGCAAACCAAAACCTTTAAGACAAAGGGTATTAAACACCTATGAGTGAAAAAAACTGGCTAAATTAGCCTGAAGGCAATTACACAAAAATATGGAAATATGAAAACATATTATAACTCAGCTCAAAGAATCTCTTAATCATCAATAAAAACTTAACCAGGCCAATATTATATCAAGGAGCAAACAAGTCTCATTAATTAGGATTTTATATTACTGTAGTGACAATCACTTGCTATTTTCTATTGTGCTCATGCTTTTGTTAAAAATGTCAGCATACCTATTTTATATACACATTTTATGTATCTTATGTACATTATGTTTACTTCTGATCACTAATTGCTTCAATCGAGTTGTACTAAAAGGAAAGATTAGCCTTTGCCAATGGTAGTTTGAATTAGACACTACTTGGGAATAACCTTTTTCATTATGGCGATTTGCTTAGCATTTAGCCTTAATAAAGAATTACTGGTAAAATCCAGCTCCATCATTTTATGGTCAGGAACTGAAGCCTACCAAGAGCTAAGTAAATCAGTCCAGGTGATATAGCTAATAAATAGCAAATCAGGGCTTTCTTAATCCAAATACAGTACATTTATCATTAAGCCATATATATTATGTATCAAGTATATGTATAGGACATAATTACCAAAAAAACTATCCTCTCTGATTCCAGTAATTTTTTTTTTGGTGTAATACTTTGAATTTATACTTAAGGTCATAATAAAATATGCCAATTTTAATGATACTGCAATGACACTCTGCTAATTATATAACAGAAACAAAATAAAAACCTTAGAAAATGTTTTCTATATGTTACATTGTTTTATGATGGATTACATATGGTTAATATTCACATTCAATCCAATAAACAATTCAATTTTATATATAATACGGCGTCTTCCACTTAGAACCAACTGCTCTTATCCTATTTTGCCTCCTCCTTGCTATCAGCTCCCTAAAGTTAAGAAAACTGGTAAACCAGAAGGCAAGTTTATTATCAAAGGATATATGACTTCTGGCTTAATATCAAGTAAGACCCTTGCTGAATCAAGTCACCATTTTTTAATACACTTGGAAAAGTTGAATAAAATTAACTAGTTTGTCATGTTACTTATAATTAGTTTTATTAACTTGATAAAAATGAGTAACTTATAAAGTAAAATAATTTAAAAGGCAGATAAATTATGAGAATTCAGCACTTATAAGGACAACAATATGCCAAAGGTTCGTAAATTAATGAATCTTATGAACCTTCAAAACTCACAGCATGTAATACTTGCTAAATTTCAACTTGACCACAGACTCTTTTGTTGGACAAAGCATCACTAAAGACTGGTATTTCAAGAAATACACTTCGAGAAAGTAATATTTCATACAATTTGTATCTGGATTTAAAATCTAGATAGACAAAATATACACACATGAAGTTAAATAACTTAAGACAATAATACAAAATATATCAAGGCATTTTATGCTTATGTATCAAATAAACTATAAAATTAATATTGCTAAGAGCCCAGAAAGGCAAGACCAACAATAGGCTAAGTTTGGACAGTCAAGGAGAAATTAATACTCAATATTTTGAAACTAAAATTCTGAGTATTTTGATCCTATGCACTATGATTGTAAGTTTGGTATCTGTCACTGGGTAAGTAAAAATCACAGCAGTTGTGCTAAGGGTTTAATATATATATTTATTTAATTCGCCCACAACGTTATTAAGGATATGGTATTTCCATTTTACAAACCTACATCCCACAGGTTAAAACTTATTTGTCTAGGTACTTACTACTACTTAATTGTACATTTAAAAATGGTTAAGATGACATATTATATTATGTGTATTTTACTATAATAATAAAAGAAAAAATACTTACTTGTCCAGGTCATATAATGTATGTGAAATTCGTACAATTACTTCTACTCCAGCTTCAGTAGCCAGTTTCTTAATAGCTGCATCTCGTTCCTTTCCAAAGGGTTCAGAATCATACTCAATTGAAAGTTTAGTAATGTTCCATTCCTAAAGTAAGATAAAGGGGTAAAAGGTACACACATTTTAAGAACAGTTTTTCTATTTTAACAATGGAGGCTAAAAAATAGTGAAAAGCTCATGATTTGCCTATCAAATGATTATACATACATCAAACATTGAATATGCAGCAAGAAAATGTGCAATTTATAAATTCAAAAAAATATATATAAGAAATGTATGCTCCCTAGATATCAAGCATTGTGCTAGGCATTAGTCTAGCAATATGCTTAAAACCAGCTTCTTAACACTAAATGTGTTTGTATAGTACTTTACTTTTTCAAATGATTTATACTTACTTTATCTCATTTGCTCCTCAAAACAACCCTCAGAGTTTGGTACTTTGGTTGGTTTCTCCATTTTGCAGATACGATTATTTTAAAACTTTAGGGACTTGCTCAAGTTCACAGAGTACCAGAATGCCTGAATTTATGCCTGCTGCTTCTAAGAATTGGTCTTTAATAAACCTTTGATAGCTAATATGGTATAAGATGCTTTGTTGGGGTACTCTGTTTTATTTCTGATTGCCAAAAAAATGTTAACTGGAAAATATGGAGATAGTAATAATAGCAGCTATTAGAGTGTCAGGTGCTATTTTAATAAGTGCTGCACATCTCCTTATACTGATTTTCAATGAGGAGACTGTGACTTCAGGGAATTAAGTGACTCCCCAGGGGAGTAGTAAAGTTTTTTAAATTCTAAAATCTACTATGATATATCTTACAAAGAAAAAAAAATCATCTCTAATTCTACCATTATTTAACTGACTATAGAGCAACATTAGGTAATTCTCCAAACCTGTCACTAATGGTGGCTTTGTTTGTTTTGTTTTTTAATTGCTATTATAAACCTTGCATTGCCCATCTTTATCTTTATACATCTTTATACATCTTAAACATTTTGGGGCATCTGTTCTATTTTTTCTAGAAATAATTCCTTCAAAAACAATTAATGGATAAGATATGCACATTTAATATTTTATACACACTGTCAAATTGTCCACCAGTTACACGGTGCCAATTTACACTCTCATCAGTAGCACACCAGTGTTTACTCTCCATACATCTGCTCCCCATATGAAAAACAGTGGTACCACTAATACACACAGTATACAAAGAAAAATAATATCTCATTTAAAATATTTTCCTTTCTTGAAAGTCTTGAAGAATTCCTACCAAGCTGTCAACAGCTGCTCCCTTTGAGGAATAAAATTTAGGAGTGTAAATAATATAATTATTTTTATTTTACACACTGTTGCATTGTTCAGAATTGTTAGTATAATCATGTCCTGCTTTTGAAACTTAAAAATAAAATGAGAATAGAAAAGCATTATATTTGTTTTACAGTAAGGGAGCATCAAGTAGTAGTTAAAAAACACATGATCTAAAGTTCTGAGTTCAAAAACTGCTCAACTATTTATGCAAATTCCTAAACTCTCCACATCTGTTTCCTCATCTAAAAAATGAGTAAAATGTAAGTAAGGTGTTTAGAGAGTACCTAGCACATGAGCACTGTGTGTTTTCTATAGTAAAATGAAAAAATAATAATATCATGTTACTGGGCTGCTGAAAGATCAAATGAGATAATGTTTGTAAATTGTTTAGGACACAGTACATAGTAAGAATAGCTATTATTATTACTAACCATTTGTATATTTCTTCTTCTGCAAGTTGCAGCTTATATTTGCTTGGTTTTCTATTGCAATTCAGTTTTCTCTTAAGAATCTGTAAGAGCTCCTTACATTTTAATGATAGCAACCTTTCTGCCATGTGTTACAAAAATTTTTTTCTAAATAGTAGTTTGCATTTTAATTCTATAATTTTTTTTGACAAAGTGTTTTAGTTTCTAGAAAGTAAATGTTAGAGTTTGAGGTAAGTCAATAACACTCCCTCACCTTTATCCCATTTGATAAAGGAAGGGAACATAAGTCAGGGAGCAAAAGGTCAAAATATGGATCATGTTGCCCTGGCCAGTGTGGCTCTGTGGTTATAGGGTTGGCCCATGCACCAAAGAGTTGAGGGTTCAATTCTGTTAAGGGCATGTACCTGGGTTGCAGGTTCATTCCCCAGCCCCAGGCGGGGCTCATGTGGGAGGCAACCAATCGATGTGTCTCTCACATCAACGTTCCTGCCCCCCCTCTTCCCCCCCCCTTTCCTCCCTTCCACTCTCTCTAAAAATCAACGAAAAAATATCCTTGGGTGAGGATAAACAACTGCGCGCGCGCG